TCTCTGTCACCGACGGTGTCACCACAGTGACCACAGTGCTGAGGGTGGAAGTGTCCCTGCTGGATGACAGCGGTCCGCAGCTGGCCCCGGGCTGCTTGTTGGCAATCACCGTGGCTAGCAAAAGCTCTGTGACTCTCTCTCGATTGCACCTCGCTTATATTGTAAGCTTTCATCTATTTCTAAACTCAGGGAATGCTGCCAGCCTCCCTTTCCTGATCCCCCCACAGACCCTTCACCACACACACCTCTCGGCCATCAGTGTGGATTCTTGGTAGAGAGCTTGAATTTTGACTGTGTCCCGACTGCTGCTGCCAACAAGGGGATAACAGACTCTTTCATCCATGAGAACTTAGTTAATCCTAGGTTTTAGTATCAAACAGACTTGCTAATAAAGCACATGGATTTGCTAAGTGATAATCCCTTGAAAATTTCAGCCCCCTCACCCCCCTTCCAAAATTGCCTGGGTCGTTTTTTCTGGACATATTTGAAGGAGGGAGGTTTAAGCAACCCAAGATGCTGCACTCCTTGGTAGCTTGGAGTCTGTCCCAGGGATTGCATGCTATCCTGCTGGTGAAATTCAGTAGAGGGGTGTTTTACTCCCTGCAGATGATTTAGCAGCAAGTGCACTAGCAGTGGGTGTCAGGTACGCAGATACCCTCCCCTTAGGGAGGAGGGAGGAGAGATTGCAGTGCACGTGTGAGGCTGGAGAGACCTAAGGTAGTAGCTGACAGAGATGGTTAGGGAACTGCAGGGGGTGAGGTAGGATACGAAGGCAGATTAATTTTTTTTCCTAGGGATCAGGCTGGATACAAGTCTGGGGTCTGTCCTGTTCTCCTTTTAAGGAGGAGGGCTGACAAGGGAGCTGTTCAGATTTAATCTGAGTAAGAGAACATTTAGGATTTCATTCCTGACCCACATGCTGAGGGTATGAAGATTTCTGCTCTGGGTCTTACCTTTCAGGCAACCGACAAAAACTTTTAGAAGAAAGATGACATTCGAGTTGTGATATCATAGAGGTGATTGCATTTAGTGTCGTTAAAACCAGCCAAAATCAGCTTTTAGTTTCATTTGAGTCTGGGTTTTGCAGCATTGCTCCACATTAACCTTTGTTTTACTAAGAACTGAACGTACTCTGTGTCTGTCTGAAGCACTGGTGGGCAGCAGTTGCTCCTTGTGCCAGCTATCGGCTAAATTTTGGCTCGCTTTTATCTGGAGTCAGGAAAAGCATATTACATAAATGGTTCCGTCCATTAGGAGTGTAAAGTAATTCGAAAACAAAAATACCAGGTTTATGCCTGGGAGATTGTTCTGATGTGATACAAGGACACAAAGAAAAAACTCCCTGAGCTGAGAGAAAACGAAGATACATTTTGTGGTAGATTCTGAGAATGTCAACTCAATTGACTCTCTTCTCATCAATAGTGCTTTGTTTAATATTCATCAGCTGTGGGTCTGACCCAGCTAGCTTAATACTTTTCCCCATAAAACATTTTATTCCTCTTTCCATTTTTAGAGGAGGGAAACAAAAGCTAATCTTGTCTTGTTTTGATTTGTTTTGTTTCTTCATGTTTAGGACAACAATTCTCCTGACTCAGAGATAAGAATCCAGTTAATATCTCTGCCTGCATATGGCACCCTCTTACGGATGTCTGGCTCTCATGACGAAGAGCTTTCCAAGGTTTATAATTTCACCATGGAAGACATCAACAATCAGCGGATCAGGTATCAAAGAGCTATTCTCCTTCAAGCCATGCCAGCGAAAAGCTCAGTGGGCTTTCCGCAGGGATCTCTGGGCTACGTTATGTTAATGCAGTGTATCAAAGATATTTTTTCCTTTCTTGGTTCTAGTATCCTATGGGATTATGAATGAGAGCGTTTCCTGTGTGGGGAATTAGGTGTTTATGCATGTCTGAAATGCCAGTAGTTGACGCAGCTTCAAATTATGGGATTTTTTTTCTGTGTCTGCAATGTCATGGTGATACTTTAGGTAGGCAACACCTAAAATGGGGATTTAAAAGAACTCAGGAAATGAATGTGAAGGAGGGCTGGGAACTGAAGTACCGCCACGCTCTCAAGAGGTGTGTGTTCACCTCTAAATGCAGGGAGGAGATGTATTTGCCTGACTGTCAGGGAGACTCCCTGAACCGGAATGTGTTCTGACTTTCACAGCTACTCCACCATGTTTGAGAGCAGCAATCAGCCGGTTACGGACATCTTCCACTTCGCTGTTTTTGATGCTGATAACAACCGGCTCGACAGACAGATGTTCACCGTCACCATCACGCCTGCCCAGACGATGCCGTCGCTCATTGCTTTTGCTGACCATATCACTGTAAGTGGCTACCCGGGACACTAGGAACAGTGACAAGAATGTCATAGATGTGAGGAACTGAACAGCTTTCCTGAATTGAGGGGAAATCACTGAAGAAACATGGTGTTGTACATGGAATCCTGTGAGTGCAAAGGATTAACAAATTACTTGGAGACCAGAGAAGGCTGACGATAAGGCTGCATCCCAGAACCTCATCTGCTTACCTCTGTTCTAGTCAGGAGCCGGGTTCTCCCTGGGGTGTCCTTGTTGACATCAGTGGAACAAGCCTGACTTAGCCCTGTTTAATATTTGGCCCCTTATTTCACCAGCTTGTGTGTAAAAGGAGCAGAAGAACAAGTCTGAAAACATCTGGTGCTTTGGACTAATACAGAGCATTTCAGACTTCTTATCAAAGCCTTTTGAAGTCATCTCCCTCCTTTCCAGCTTTGCATTCCCCCTCCCTTCCCTTCAAAAGGCTCTCCTCAACAAGAAATGCAGATCTTGCTTTCCAGGAGGTCAGCATGATTCTGCCAGTTCTCTTCGTGCCCTGATAAAGCACTCACAGGCTCCTCTTGGGGGCCGGGCTGGCTTTGTTCTTCCCATCCCACCTCACCTTCCAGCTGATTTCATGCATAAGAGATGTAGGGGAGGATAGGGCAGGACTTCAGAGACCGGGCAAGCCTTTTCCGTAGAGGCAGCCTTCTTCAGTAAGAATTTGTGTGTTGCTGTGTGCATTGGCGGTAGTTTTGCCATACGCTTTTGCTTTCCAGGTGGATGAGGGGAGCAGGGTGCCACTGCTGGCGCATCACCTCTTAGCTGCTGATTATGATACTGCTGCCAAGGAAGACCTGAGGGTCACAGTTATCACTCTACCTATGTATGGCTACATTGAAAACACTAAGACAGGTAAACTGCTTGGCTCTCTTTTCCTCCTCCTGGCTGATGAAAGGGAACGTGGGAATTGCCATACTGGAGCACATTCTACTCTGTCTCACTGCAGTTCCTCAGTGCAGTGCTGGTTGGCATCGGTTGATCCTAACGAGCTCGTAAGGTCAGCATTACAAGATAGACTGTCTCTGGGGAGCATTTCCTCCTAACTGTCGTTTGTTGGAGACTGGTCTGTGTTGCGAGGTTGGGACATGAAAAGCCTCTTCGAGCCCATGTGTTGTATTTTCATCATGCTATATTTTGGCTGTCTCTGTTACACAGAACAAACTTTGCTAGATTCCTCTAAATGTCCCAGCAAACTTTAAAGCTGTGAGAGCTGTGGCAGAGCGTGGCTGGTAACATTCTCTTGTCTCATTGTATTATCAAGAAAAGGCAGGATTTATACCATACCGTCCCAAGATGTTCATCCAGGAGACTTGTCTGCTTAATCCTGTGGGTGGTCCTAACAGGAGTGGCATATATCATTTTACTTAAATCATACCTTGCCTTTGTAAAGTATCACGGTGAGTTGGCCAGTTGTCACGGTTTGCCGTGTAGTGGCTTGTTACAACACCGATTGCCTTCCTTCTGGAGAGCACAGGTTGTGAACCGTTACACATCATCCCTCCTAATTGTGTCCCGTGAATGAACTCCAGTTTGTCCCGTTTTGGTAACGGTGAGACTCTCTCCTTGAACGGGCAACAGCTGGGTGATTTCCTTGGGTATGAGAGGTAGTTTTGCGAGGTGAAGCTTGATGTGGAGATTGTCTTGAGGCCAGATGGCACATTAGCCGTTGTCTCATCTCTGAAGAAAGCCTAAGTAATTCTGGGATGTGGGATTGCTTGTACTGCGCATAAAACTGCAGCTTCCCCTAATGCCTACTCTAATGCAGCAGATGTTGCTTTCTACAAAGGTCACAAGATGTGTGAAAGCCGTGTTGTAGGAATGAACATCCTTCTGCACCCTTCGCAATGTGCCGTTCTTCTCCTAATCCTGCTGCTTTTATTTTTACTTTATCAGTGAATTGAACATCCTTTCACTAGCGGTATTCTGGTTTGCAGGTGAGAGTTTTGGCCCGCGGAGTGAGTCTGCTGTGACCGCAGATGCGTCCTTTTCCCTTCAAGATGTTCTAGAGAACAGCATTTACTACTTCCAGAGCGTCCATGAAAGCATCGAGCCAACAAGTGATGTTTTCAGCTTTTATGTGAGCGATGGCTTCAGCCAGTCTGAGTTGCAGAGCATTAACATCACGATTCAGGTACGTCTGTGCTCACTGGCTGCCAGAGCCCTCTCCTTTCACGCAGATACATGACTTTTACAGCGCAAGCTTTGCTCACTCCTTTGTAGTATGTGGGAGGGGGATTAAAGGGAGTTTCCTTCCTCCTATCTGTTTGCTTCCACTAGTACAGGAACGTAGTTCCCCTGTAACACCAGAAGAACAGTTGTGCATTGCAGCGTCTTCCCCACGGCTTATTTCTCAGATGTCTTCTCCCTTTTAAAAGCAGCCATGATGCTGGATAGATTTGGAGAGGCTGATGTAGCCCATTGATGGATATCAGCACCAGTACTATCATTTGGGAGCTTGTATTTCATTCAGGTGGGCAGCGGTCTTTTCCCCTTGGCCATTTCCCTTTTTTGACTGTGTGCCTTTGGGACCTGTGCAGCGACAGAACGATGAGCCCCCGAAGATGGTGCTGGAGCCTGTCAGGGTGCATGAGGGCTCAGGTGTGGTCGTTACCAACGCCTCCCTCAACCTGCAGGACTTGGACACCCAGAACAGTGAGCTTGTCATCGTGGTTACCAAAAGTCCTGAACATGGTAAGTCCTGACAAACTGGGGGGTGAGAGGGAGAGAGCATGTCTTTGTGCGTCAGTGTCTCTGTGTCTTTATATCCATGTGCGTGTAACGGCCCCTGATGTAGAGAGGAGCCTGGTGTATTTGTATAAAGCACATTTCATCTATGTTCGGACCAGCAGCCACAGAGGGATTGTGCTTCAGAACAGACCTATTCTTTGAGAATCGTCCCTCGCTATTTGTGGGAGAGGAGAAAGGGGGACTGCATGCATTTCCCTAGCAAGTTCCCTTTTGTTTTACCCCATTTCCAATTCTGGGCTTCAGGTCCAAAGAGCCGAGCAGCTAGCATCTCTCTGCGGTGATAAAGCAGGGCAGGGTGTCAAGTGAAGACTAGTGTCATGTTAAACTACTGAGGGCTGGGCACCCTTTTTCAGATCTCGTGTATGTAGCCAAATTCTTATCAGTTTTGGTAATAAGCAGATAACTTACTTCAGTTTTGCTAATAAGGCTGTGTCCACCTCTGTACATCCCACTGAGAGCTGGCATGGAAAGAGTCCCCAGAAGTCTGTCTTCTCCCCGTAATTTTCATCCATCTGTTGTTTGTCAGGTCATCTCCGCAGGAGGCAGACTGCTGCAGAGCCCCCGGAGCATGGACATGTGCTGTCCATGGGCTCGTCCTTCACCTACCAGGACATTTTGGATGAGCTGATCGTTTATACTCAGAGCGGTGCAGCAGCACAAACAGATGAGTTTGGCTTCTCCATCACGGATGGTCTCTACATGCAGACAGGGAGGCTGGAGTTCTCCATGGAGCTGCCGAAGAAGCAGCCACCCACGTTAGCTGTCAACAGGGACCTGCAGCTCCCAGCTGGTACGGGGAGAGGGAGGAGAGTGGTATTGCTTGGTATTGTTATATGGTCCAGTCTAAACCAGTCGGTTAGCTGGATTGGCTGAAGCTGTTGGTGGACTTTCTTCCTCTGGTCCAGGCTCTGCAGCGCACCTCACAGATCAGCACTTGAAAGCAGCAGCTGTTGATTCAGATGACACAGCGATCAGATTTGTCATGAAGAGGGATCCCAGCATGGGGCATCTGCAGTTGACCAAAATTGATAGTCCAGTCCACATTTCTGCCAAAGGACCTGTCCAAAGTTTCACCCAGGCTGATATAAATAGAGGTGAGAATGCTTGATTTTAGATAATCACAGCAAGTAATATGTGCCGGTTTAGGTAGTCCTGCAAGGCAAAGGGAATTGGACTCGATGATTGTTATGGGTCCCTTCCAGCTTGAGATATTCCACTATTCTATGATGTTTTTGAGAGCGGGAGGATGACTTGAAGCAGGGAAGGGAGAGGGATAAAAATAAGATAAGGTTGTTATGTTAGAGCAGAAACACATACCATTAAGCAAGTGTTAAAGAAGTGTCTCTCAGCAGGAGAAAAAGAATAAAGAGAAAAAGTAATGAAACCCAAATCCAGGAGCTCTGTCAAGCCCCAAGTCCCTCGGCTTATGGTGCCAGCCTGACTCCAAACTAAGAATTAAATGATGCAGCCTGTAATAAAACACCTGTTTTCTCCTGTTCCTCTCTTCAGGACAAGTGGTGTACATTCACAAGAAAGGGGATCCTGGGGGAGGTTTTGCCTTCACCTTTGATGTGATCGATGCAGATGGCAACAAACTGACGGACCAGGTTTTTTATATTACTGTATTAGGTAAAAGACAGTGCTGAAGTTATGTTTTCTTTGCTGCAGAGCTGTGGCCTTCATAGATTCCCATCCCACATGAACTGCAAGTTAAGGTGTAGTTCCTGAGATGTGGTTTTTATTCACTGTTTATTCAAAGGCCTTTGAAGTTTGGGGCATGGGGAGAGTTCGCGGATGTAAGGATTAGGTCTTTGGCTTCTGACAAACTCACTGAAATAGGTAGAAAAGTTGCCCTTAATATCTTCATACTGTCTAGATTGTCTTTAAAACGTTATAATGCTACCATCCCCTCAATTAATGCCACAGTACCTCTTTTGGAATTACCAGTCTGGGAGGTGTTTTGTTGTCTTTTGCTTGAGCACAAGTACCGGCTTTGAATAACACCAAGGAAAGGAGGATGACATTGTCTTTTGCTTGAGCACAAGTACCGGACCAAGGAAAGGAGGATGACTCTCTCCTAACTAAGCTTTGTATTTAACCCTTTCAGAGAACAGATTTCCCCCCTCCGTCATCACTAACAAAGGGCTGGTCTTGGACGAGAACTCTGCAAAGGTGATCACAACCCTCCAGCTCTCTGCCACTGACCGGGACAGTGAGCCGACCCAGCTCCAGTACAAGCTCACCAAGCAGCCACAGCTGGGGCACCTGGAGCACATGGCCTCCCCAGGTTAGCAGGATGGTATTTTACTGAGTTGGGTACTCCTAGCAGCAAAGCACGGGCGGGCTTTTGAGCCCTAAAGGTTCACTGCCCGAAAAATGTGCTTGAAGGCAGCAACACAGATTTCTATTGTTTCCCAATAGAAATCAAACGGTCGTTAGCCCGGAGAGTTGGAGAATAGGGTGAGTGGGGGCAAGGCAGCCCAGTAATTGCAGATGAGGATTTATTCAGCCTCTGGGTGAGTTTATGCCCCGTGGTAATCTTGCCTGGTGGACTTTGCAGATCAGTCCAGCTTGCCACTGTGTGAATCTCCTCTTTCAGGACCTATTGCTGCATCTGCGTGACAGGCAAACCTTCAGCCATGCATCCCCTTCATCCATGGTAATAGAGCCCACCTTGGTGAACAGACAACTTGCTTTCAGTCCCCCTCTTGGCCAGTATGTCCCTTGATCCCTAAACACCAGTCTCTTTTCCCAGCTCTGCTTTGGAGAGAGGAAGGGAACTAACCGCTGAGTTAGTTTGAAAGGAAAATATGTTGTGGAGAGATGGATACGCTGGATAATGAATTCCGGTAGTTCGGGGAGGTGATATTGGTCAATCCTGTGAAACTCAGAAAATAGTTACCTGCAAATGTCATCCGAATTTCAGAGTTGCCTTCCATGCCCACTGACAGTATGAGTGTCCTACCCCTCTCTGATGAATTTGTCTAAATCTATGCTGTCTGATCTATGCCTCTGATTTAGACGATACTCATCTAAGGTTATATTTCTTCTTAGAATTAGATTTCTCATTAACAAGAGATTGAAGTGGAAATACCTGCTGTGTGTTTTCAAGATGCGGACAGTCCCTGTACAGCTCAGTTTTAGTGTGTGGTTTGCCTCATCTTCTCACAGTATAAGATGTCCTCTGGCAAACATGTTGAAAGGGTAGGAATAATGAATGGAAGTTATAATCAGCAAACCCCTTGCTGTGGGAAAATTAAAAACTTGCAATATTTTTGTCTAAATTGCAAACTAAACAGTGAATCTTGTACTTTGGAGACCTGAAAGAGCTTGATTAAGGATTTTATTCCTCCTGTTATGTGATGATTCTGATTTCTGTGCTTTTTCATGTCTGTGACGGACTAAGTCAGATACAGAGTCACCCACTGTGAGTCGTTCTCATGATTTAAATGACCTCAACCTAAGGGAGGAGTACTGGAGTGTTCAAAAGAGAACACAAACCTTTAAAGCTAATGAACTCTGAGGAAACCTTGGCTAATCATCCAGTTTTGGCTCATTTATTTATATCAGATCCTGGTATCTTTTGTAGTGTGGCCAATATTTGTCAGTAGCTGTTTAGCATGATAAACTGGCGAAAAACTTTTTGTCAGAGTTTTTGTTGTTGTTAAGAGCAGTAAAACTGTCAAAGCAGCAGTGAGAGTTAAAGGCTCAAGTGGTTTTTAAAATGCTTGTCGGGTACCTTTCTGTGTCTGTGTCACCCCTAATGACCTGTAAAGATGTCGCTGTAAGTCAGCGTTGAAAATGGGGCTTAGTCTGCCTGAATGCAGGGGTACAAGGAGGGGAAAAGAGAGCAGAGACTGTGAAGCCATTTTTTGAAAAAAGCTGTGAGGCCAGGAAACATTTTGCCCACGCTCAGTGATGCCCTGCACGGGAGGGAAAATCGAAGTGTTCAATCTACTGTTTTTCTGACAGCTTCTCTCTCGCTCTCTGCCCAAAAAGGCCCATCCATCCCCAACAGGGTGTCTTGGCAGTGTGAGGTGCCGTTGTAAAATTGTCAGTCTGGGAAGAAGTCTATACTTCCTTTTGCAGAAGGGGTGGCATTACCTTAATTTTAAAGATGGTGAATGGAGTGTTTAGGAGACTCTGTGCCAGCTAAATCCCTGACTCAGCTGAACTTCATGGTACAGCCTGAACTGGAGCAGAACAAGTCAAGACTGAGTGCTTATGGCTAGATACGTCCAGCTCCGTGCATTTTTCCTTGCCTCGCTCTTTCTATCACACATTTCCCCCTACTGTTCTTTTTCTAGGGACAAGAATTAGTTCTTTCAGCCAGGCAGATTTGGCCTCTCGCAGCATCCAGTACGTCCACACCAGTGACATTGAAAAGCATACAGATGCGTTCACCTTCTCTGTTTCTGACGGAACGAATGAGGTAAACCTCAGCGTGTTTTTTTGCCTGAGTCAGAGCGGGCTATTGATTCTGTAGGGTGCGATGGGACTCAGTTTTCCTCTTGCGTGCCTGCGAGAGACAGTTACACGTAGCAAAGGAAATTAAGCAAGCCACACACGGGCTTGTCATTTGGCAATGGTGGGTGCTCTTACATCCCATGCTGCGAGAGATTTTACGTACCGCAGGGAAGGGAGCGAGCCCCGTGAAGGGAAGGGGAAGCCACCTGAGATGTAGCCTCATGAGACTGGTTTACCAATATTTCAGTGTCTGGTTTTGATCTGCTAACCAATTGTTCCTGGAGCTCAGCTTTGATCCAGTGCACTGACAACACACCCAGAAGCACAGTTAGACCCTTGAAAAACATCTCCTTCAGGGTGCCTGAACGGGAAGAAACATAGCTGCAAATAGAGGGAGAGGAGCAAAGTAGAATGAGGGAAGGAGGGGAAAGTGGGTGTCCATAAATATCACAGAAAGAGGAAGAATAAATTAGTGGGGAGGGATAGAAGAGGTCATGTTTACAAGATCTGAACTCAGAAGCTCTTGTTTACTCACTAAACAAGGCTGAAATGAAGCGACCCAAACTCAGTGGATTACTGTGGTCTCCTTAAAGCATTACTGTTTCAATAGAATTGCACTCTTGATAGACTGAATTCATCAAGAGAGGCTTTTCCTCCTGTTCCAGGTGAGCCAGACGTTTGACATCACCATAAACCCTGTGGATGACTCCTTACCCGTAGTGCAAAGCCTCGGGATGACAGTTCAGGAAGGTGTGAGAAAAACCATCACAGAGTTTGAGCTTAAAGCAACAGACGCTGACACAGAGGTAAGGCAGGACTCCCCCCGCCTCCTCCCTCCCCTGTTCTGCTGCACATCTGGGCTATCAGCAAAATGGGCTTCTGTTCAAAGAGAGAGATTACAGTGAGCGTCATCTCTCCCTGTGATCATACCCTGTCTGATCACAACATCAAACAAACAGCTCGTGGGAGGCTCAGTTTGTATATAAATAGATGAATGAGCGTTTGAGCAAAGCAAAGCCCTGGCTTGAGAAATGGCTTCATCTGAGATGTCTCTCCAACACATAAGCAACAAACCTGCGTGGAAAACATTTAGAAGTTGTGATAAGAGCTAATGCTTGCCCTGTCCCACCTTCTGTCTGAACATTGCGGATTTGAACTGAGCTTATGCCTAGCCTTGAGATCGAGTTTATGCCTGGCAGGGATGAAAATGACATTTCCTCTTCCTCCTGCTGGGTCTGGCCGGAGGCTAAGCGGTGTCATGTTGGCTCTGCCTCACTGCGCTGCATTTTCCCTGCAGTAAGAGAGCTTATGGCTGCCTGTTACTGCCCTGAGCCAAAGATCCTGCCCCGAAGGTTGTCGCTGCTTCCACCCTGACAGAAGTGACAAGGGGCCTGTTGCTTAGAATGGCTGTGGAATGGGGGACTGCTCTTGTGTTTGAGGGGTTGTCACGAAGGTGGGAGCCATCTCAGACCAGCCGAACCAACAGTTAGGTGGGACGGGTCTAGCCTAGCTTTCCCTGATCGGGGTTGTTTTGTAGATAGCCACCGTGGGAGAGGGATAAAGACAGGACAGGGCTCAGGGTGAAGAATCAGTTCAACACGCGGTGCTACGTTTCAGCCCCTGTTTGGAAACACTGTGCTAGGAAAGCTGTCTGGGCGTAGAGTCCCTCTCCAGGTATCTCAAGCTGGAAGGACCTGCCTGCCCTGGTCCTGGGGTCACATCATCAGCTTTGCCGCTCTGTCTCCTTGGTGCAGGCTGAATCAATTACGTTCACAGTCATGCAGCCCCCTCGGCATGGCCTGATTGAACGCACCAGCAACGGGCAGCGCTACCACCAAGCCACCACCTTCACAATGGACGACATCTACCAGAACCGCATCAGCTACAGTCATGATGGTAGCAACTCGCTGAAGGATCGCTTCACTTTCACTGTGTCTGATGGGACCAATCCCTTCTTCGTTGTGGAGGATGGGGGGAGGAAGGTAAGGGGAGGAGAAGGGATGTGAGGAAGACCTTCTATAGCTAACAGAAAGCTACCTCCTCTCAGAGAAAGGGTGACTTAGCTGCTGTCACTCCACTGAAGATAAGGGCAGAGTATTCTCAGTTATGTGATGCCATATGCTTCTTCCCTGGTGTACCAGCCCTTGTATTTGCCAACTCGCCCCAGGACTTGATCCCAACAGAGCTGAAGGGATCAAAGGTGGTTATATGGTGGATGAGGCTCCAACTCCCAAAGTAACTTCTGTCTCTCTGAACTTTTGTCAGGTTGTGACAACAACACCGCAGCGCTTTAAAGTGGACATTCTCTCTGTGGATGACGGGACACCCAGGGTTGTCACCAACCTGGGTTTGCAGTGGCTGGAGTATGTGGATGGCAAGGTACCTGCCTGCTTAGTTTGTTCCTCAGGCTGTTCCAGGAGAAGGAGCTTCACAGGAGAACCTCCTGATCCTTCAGCATTTTTATTTTTGTGATAGAGAAGAGGTGTCCCTCTGTGCACATGAAATGTCTTGGAAGAGGCAGAGGTGTGCAGGGACGCCTTCACTGCAGCTCCATTAGCTAAACCAGGCAAACGTGACTCCAGGGCACTAAATTGCTTCCTGAAACATCCCCGTCCCTTACATCAGCAG